TTGGGGTCCTGCAGTGTTCAGTAAGACCATGTGGTGCCTGGGTTCAGACTTGTACACTTGCATGCACTCTGTCCCGTATGGCACCTGGGAACCTGGTAGTTCTAAGTTTTTGTTGTTGTTGTTTTTGTTACCATGTTATTTATTTTATTTTATTTTATTATTTTTAACTTTTATTAGTGAATCACCATGAGGTACAGTTGTAGACTTACAAATTTTTGTGCTTGGGTTTCAGTTATACAGCGATTGAGTACCCATCATGTAGTTCTAAGTTTTAAGGTGCCTGCGTAAGAGCAACAAACAGTTGATGAAATCTGCTGATCAACTATTTCATATTTACCTGAGTCTCCAAGTTTTTGTATAACAGTTTTGTAGCATTAGGAATTCCCTTCTATGGAAAATGAATGGCAGCTGTTTGAAAACGTCTGTCATCTGACTGAAAAGGCTCCGTCTCACAAAGAGCTCCATGTTCTGGGGTGCTATAATCCTCGATGTTAATTTTGGAATGAATAATAAATTGAATGAATACCGTGGGCTGGAGTGAGAGCACAGCGGGTAGGACGTTTGCTTTGCACGCAGCCGACCCAGGTTCAATTCTTCTGTCCCTCTCGGAGAGCCGGGCGAGCTACCGAGAGTATCTCACCCACACAGCAGAGCCTGGCAAGCTCCCCGTGACGTATTCAATATGCCAAAAACAGTAACAATTCTCAGAATGGAGAAGTTACTGGTGCCCGCTTGAGCAAATCGACGAACAACGGGAGTACAGTGCTATGGTGCAGTACCTTATGTCAGAAAAAGTTGTGACTATTGGGAATATTAAGATGATGGTCTGTATATTAGAAGGGTGTTGTTAAAAGTGGGAACATGTCCATTCTTATAGTTATGCAAGGGCCAGATATATGGTATAGTATAAGGCGCATGCAGCAAATGAAATTGAACTGGGTTCAGTTTAAACCCTGTTCAGTTTGCAGCATCTCATTTGGTCCCTCAGCACTGCCAGGAGTGATTCCTGAATCCAGAGCCAGGAGTACTGAGCACTGCCCGGTGTAGCCCCCATAATAATAAATAGCTAATGCTAAGTGGGCTGGAGCGATAGCATAGCGGGTAGGGTGTTTGCCTTGCACGCGGCCAACCCAGGTTCGATTCCTCCGACCCTCTTGGAGAGCCCGGCAAGCTACCAAGAGTATCCTGCCCACACGGCAGAACCTGGCAATCTCCCCGTGGTGTATTCGATATGCCAAAAACAGTAACCGCAAGTCTCACAATGGAGACATTACTGGTTCCCACTCGAGCAAATTGATAAACAACGGGAAGACAGTGCTACAGTGCTAAATTAGAGGTCTTTGGAAAAGCAGGAGAAAGTACTTCTTGGAATGATAGACATTAAAAAATTAGCATGAATTTCCTAAGTGGAGAGCTAGAAAGGATTAATCTTGTACAGGGAAAATGATCTGTAAATGCAGAGAAAAGTTTACTGTGAACTTAGTGGCAGTTTGTATAGGGAGAGTGGGTTGGTAGGGACTCTGCAGTGCCTGTGTGCTATTTTAATTGTGCATCCCTGAGAAATTGTTGGTTTTGCTCCTGGTCTATAACAACAGAAACTTAGGTTATTCATTGGCACATAAGCAACCTACATTCTCCCATAATATACATGTTTTCTGTTTTATAGAGAGCCACTCCCAAATGACTTCAAGCAATCATTTTTATTCTCTTATTCTCTGGGTTGACTGAGCTCAGATAGTAAGTTTAGCTTGGCATTCTCATTTTTGCAGTTGATGGCTGCTAAAACTAGTCTTCTGTAACTTGGCCTGACTGTATATATTCAGGATGGTTCCTTTATTCATGTGTCTGTCTTATCTGGGATGGCTCTAGCTACTTGGGGAAGCTTCTGATCTCTTGACACAGCATTAGGCCCCATGATTAGTGGTTTTCCTCATTCAGCTGAATAGCCATCTTGGAGTATGTGGCCGTGGTTGATAAGCAGTATCTGGTTTACCCTAGGGGTGTGTTTTAAGCAAGCCTACAATCCTGTAAAGTTTATCCATCCTCTAGGTTTGGGAGTCACACAGCATTACTTTGCATATGTGATTAAAGTTTACTAGTAGGGTCATCCATCATTCGAGGGGGAGAGTTACATGGAGGCATGGACCATTGTTTGCGATGAACTTTTTACTTGCACTGCTACCTTAGGAAATAGATGCATAGAAGAGAAGATAGGCTCCTGGGAAACTTGAATGCTTGAAGGAAGACCTAGAAAGAGAAGTCATCGAAAAACAATTTAGGGACCACTTGAAGAATGCTGCTCTGGATGCCAAAGGGTTAAAGAGCAATATTGCATAGCAATAGGTGCTTAGATTTGGTTGTTTCCTAACCTGAACGAGACCGTCCCCATAAGGGCTCTGATTATAGGGCAGTAGTAACCTCCAGTGAAGTTGGGGATGAGGGGAGCGATGGATGGGAATGCCTTTATGTTTGTTTGCTTAAAGTAGATTTCCACAGGGCACTAAGAAATTTTATTTCTGAGGAGGGGACAGTAGACCAAATAAATTAAATAACTTCTGTGTTAGAATAATTCTGTTTTTCAGGGGCCAGAGCAATAGTACAGCAGGTTGGACGCTTGCCTTGCATGCAGCGGACCCGGGTTTAGTCCCTGGCATTCCATATGGTCCTCTGAGCACTGCTGGATGTGGCCCCGAAACCTGTATTTATATTTACTTATATTTACGTACATGTATTTATGGGCTGAAGTGATAGCACAGTGGGTAGGGCGTTTGCCTTGCATGCAGCCCACCGGGTTCGATTCCTCAGTCCCTCTTGGAGAGCCCGGCAAGCAAACGAGAATATCCCTCCCGCACGGCAGAGCCTGGCAAGCTCCTCGTGGTGTATTCGATATGCCAAACACAGTAACAACAAGTCTCACAATGGAGGCGTTACTGGTGCCCGCTTGAGCAAATTGATGAACAACGGGAGGACAGTGCTACATGTATGTGTATGTCTATTTTTCAAGAGTCACACAGTTTACAGGTACCTTTGATGGGACCTTTTTTTTTTAATTTATTTTTAAATTTTTTTATTTTTTATTAGTGAAACACCATGAGGTATAGTTATAGACTTATAAATTTTTGTGCTTGGGTTTCAGTTATACAATGATCAAGTACCCATCCCTCCACCAGTGCCCATCCTCCACCACCACGGGTCCCAGCATCCCTCCCACCCCCCCCCCCCCTTCCCACCCTGCTTCTGTGGCAGGGCATTCCCCCTTGTTCTCTCTCTTCTTCTGGGTCCTGTGTTTTGCAAGAGAGGCATTGAGTGGCAATCATGTTTGGTTATAGTCTACTTTCAGCATGATTCTCCCACCCTGGGAGGATCCTCACAATACCCTTTATTTGGTTCTCTCTTCTCTATCTGAGCTTCCTTTTCCCCTAGCACGTGTGGCTGGCCTCCAAGTCATGTAGCAAAATTCCTGGTACTAATCTCAGCCATTCCTGGGTGTTAGTCTCCCATTTTGTTGCTTTATGTTCCCCAGATGAATGCAATCTTTCTGTGTCTATCCCGCTCTTTCTGACTCAGTTCGCTTAACATGATACTTTACATGTAGTAATTTTACATACCATTTGTATGTAAATTTCATGAGTTCATCTTTTCTAACAGCTACATAGTACTCCATTGTGTAAATGTACCAAAGCTTCTTTAACCAGTCATCTGTTCTCGGGCACTCAGGTTTTTTCCAGATTCTGGCTATTGTAAAGAGTGCTGTAATGAAGAAACAATTGCAGGTGTCACTTCGACTATATTTTTTTGCCTCTCTGGGATATATTCCCAGGAGTGGTATTGCCGGGTCAAATGGGAGATCAAATTCTAATCTTTTGAGAATCGTCCATACTGTTTTCCAAAAGGGCTGAACCAGTCAGCATTCCCACCAGTTGTGAAGGAGGGTCCCTTTCTCGCCACATCCGCGCCAGCACCGGTTGCTTTTGTTCTTGTGGATGTGGACCAGTCTCTGTGGTGTGAAATGATATCTCATTGTTGTTTTGATCTGCATCTCTCTGATGATTAATGATGTAGAGCATTGTCTCATGTGCCTTTTTTGCCATTCCGATTTCGTCTTTGCGAAAGATTCTGTTCATTTCCTCGCCAATGGGATCTTTTTGCTCCTAGGTATTTGAAAGGCTATATTTCAGTTTTATTTTCAATTTATAGATTGATTTCCACTTTCTTCATTTTACTGCTGTTATTGCAGTGACTGGTGCTTGTGCTTGTGTTTGGTTGTGGCCTTCTTGTGGTTATGTCTGGTTGCAGGACTTATGTTCTTGGCTGCAGTGCTCAAGAGGGGACTCTTCCTTGGTTTGGGAGCCACACCTGAGGATGATTGGGGCCTACTCCCTACGGGACCATGCAGTCCTGGGCACGCCAGCTCTGGGCGCCATCTCCCTGACTCCAGGGGCTGTACTGTTAGCTGCAGTGCCCACTGGGCATCACACCAGACTGAGCACAGCGGGTGTCCCCCACACCTGGCCATGTGTACATTGTTGTGATAGAGGTTCCAACTGTTAGCACTCACTTGGTGCATGTGAGCAGCGCCAGAGATCCAACCTGGGGCCTCGCCTTTGCTACTAAGTTATCCCCAAGTTCTCTCTTTCCCTCCCCCCTCCCCCCTTCATATCATCTGCCCTATTCGTATCTAATCAGTGCCTGAAGTTAGAACTTGAATAGCTTAGTGTCCACCACGAAACAGTTACAAGTTGTTCATAAATTGTGACTTTTACTGGGTAGGTTTTTACAGTAGGAAAAAAGAATATGGGATTCCATAGAGAGATAAAAGTTCTTTGTCAAATGAGGGCCAGGCAAAGTTAAAGACAAACTGTGATCGCCCTAATAGAATATTCTTTTGGATTCAAAGGAGGCATAGCCATGCACTAAATGAAAAGAATGGTTAAAAGAGGAAATTAGGATTTTGCTATTAACTGCTGACTTTTTAAATTTTTATTCTGTTTTAATTTCAGAGCACAAAGTTATCATTGTTGGTTTGGATAATGCGGGGAAAACGACCATTCTTTATCAGTTGTAAGTATTTGTAACTTAAAACTTTATGTATTTTTTTGAGTTTGGGTCACACCCAGCTGTACTAGGAACTTAGTCCTGGCTCAGAACTCAAGGATCACTTTTGGCAGGGTGCCTGGACTGGGTGTGGTGCCAGGGATTTAACCCGGATCTGCCACATCCCAGGCAAACACCTTACCTGCTGCTCTATCTCCCAGCACCAGCAATTTTAAAAAATTAAATTAAATTGGTTATACTACTTCTACTAGAGTGGACGCAGGTATTTGCCTACTGAAGCCATGAAAAGGAACAAGGGAAGTGGTTTAAATGGCAGAATACATCTGGCTTTCTTGAGGCCTTGGATCAAACCCTGGGAATATATCCCCCTTCTAGAACTGCTGATGTGGTCCTGGTGGTCCCTGGATCTACCAGGAGTGCCCCCCCCCCCGCCCCGCTAGTCACAATGAACATTATATGAAACCTCTGTAAGAAGGGAGATTGACTTTAAACTGAAGCTACCTTTATGCAACTATTTCTAGATAGCTAGAAATTGATGTCATTGAACATGTCTTTTAGTTGTTCCGTTTACAGAAGGTTAATCACCCCCGCCTTCCAATTTTTGGACAACATCAGCTGTGTTAAGAGCTTACTCACTCCTGTTCAGGGACCACTTCTGGTGGTGCCTTGGGTGTATCAATCAAATCAAAGCTTGTTATCAGATCCGCCTCTAGCAAGACCCTTAACCCCTTTACTATTTCTCCAGTCTTTTCTATTTTGCTTAAGGAAAGCTAGAGGAAATCTCATAACCTACTAGTCCTAATAATAAAGAAAACAAAGTTATGGAAAAAAGATGGGTATAAAGTTCAACCAACCAAGCTTTGTTGCTAATTGTCATATATGCATCTTTCCTCCCCAGTTCCATGAATGAAGTTGTACATACATCTCCTACAATAGGAAGTAACGTAGAAGAGATAGTGGTTAATAATACACGTTTTCTAATGTGGGATATTGGTGGCCAAGAATCTCTTCGTTCTTCCTGGAACACTTATTATACCAACACAGAGGTAACATTTTATAATAGCTTAATTAATCCTTTTGTCTCAACACACTAATATACCTAGAATTTATATAGTAGAAACTTGGATTGCCTATTTACTGTTCTTTATATTCAGTATTTTGTGTATCTACTCTCATTAAATGTAGGTATATTGATCACATGTGATTAATTTGATTGTATATTGGACCCCAGAATTTTTGTAAGTAGATGCTTTTGAAATGAATTCTGTTAGAGTTTGTGATTTTATTTTTCTTACGATTTAAATTTATCTGACAGAGAAAATCCAACTAAGATGAGAGGGTTTAGGCGGTTTGAATTCTCAGGTGTTTTTTGAGCAACACCTGATTGAGCTAAGAGTTTACTCCTGCCTTTGTGCTCATGGGTAATTCCTGGCAGTGCCCAGGGGTCCATGTGTGGTTCTGGCGATCAAACCCAAGTCACCTGAGTGCAAGGAAAGTGCCTTACCTTCTGTATTATCTCTGCAGCTCCTGATCAGAATTTGTACATATTCCTTTATGAAATTCAGTTATATATTAAAGAATCATTTTCCTCTTAAATAATATACCAATTTAGACGTACTCATTTTTATTTACATGTTACTTCCCCAGAGAAAATTTTAGAGCATGATACTTGAGAGCTTCCTTATGTAAACCTTGTTAAGTTGGAAGGTTGTGACAGTTATTTTTGAAGTATTGGTTATAAGTCAGTCAAGCCTAAAATGTATATAAAGATTATTAGTAAGTTACAAAGTTTTAATTCTGTCTCTCTGATGACCCAGAATACCAAACATCCTAAAGCATTTGGTCACATTTTTTGTAAGGAAAAAAAAAGGAATGTCTGTGTGTTTTAAAGAAGGAAAGGAATGTTAGTCCTCCTTTATGTAGTGACACAGGTATGAAATTCATGCCATATCTTGACAGTTAATGACTTTATTAGCATTCCTTAAAATCAGTAGGTCTTATAGTAATAAAGCTACTTTTCTGAGCGCTATCAAGAGCAGAAATAAGATAGCCATCTTCTACCCATTTGCATTATAGTTGACAAGAAATAGAAAAGTGAGATTTTCCAAATTTATTTGGAAATGAAAAACCAGCTGTAAAAAAATTAGTGCATGAAACAGCAGGTAGCCAGAATGTTGTCAGGCATCCAAGGCCTTCCTCAGGTAGCCGTTTCTGATCCTGTTTGCCTTGTGCCTTGGGCCTCCTGGGGTGAAGGAAGAGGTGCCGTGTATTTCCGCCTCCCGCCACTCTTCTGCATCTTTTGACACAGGTTGCAGCCCTGCTTAAGGAAGAAAGCATGGTTTTAGATAAAGATCAATTTATTGAATATTTTAAAGACTGACCTCTTCAACTCTTTTTACTCCTGTTTTTGTAATTTTTTTAGATTTTCAAATTAATAGATTAAACTTAATAAGTAACTTAAATTAGAACTACATGACTTACACTACAAATAGATAGATATAGGCCCATTAATGTTTGGGGTAAGGCACTTGCCTTGGTTAGATCCCCCACACCACATTTGGTCCCCCTTAGCCACCCCCAGAAATTACCTCTGAGTAGCCAGGAGAAGTAACCAGGAGAAGCCCCTAAGTACTACCACATGTAGTCCATACTTTCTCCTAACACCTAACAAAGTATAGAAAAATATATTGGTTAGACTAGGCTTATTCTAGTAGAATGTTAGCATTATTTTCTTTCAAGAAGTGAAAAATTCAGGTTTTGAATAAAAGTTTCAAATAATATATATAATTTTTTTGAATTTTAATTGTTTGGCTTTGGCTACTGTATGTGTGTGTTGCCACCACCACAATAATTTTAAAAAAAAAGGTTTCTCGTGTGGGATATAAAGACGCATAGTAAGGGAACTACAAATCTCCAGTCATCAGAACTGGGGGTTTTGTCTATAGAACTGAGCTTACATGAGGGGGCTCAGAGGAGCCCTTAGGACACTGATGGAGGGAAGTGGGCTCTCTGGGTGTGGTGTTGGAACAATGTATGCATGAAAAGAATCATTATCAGTGTTGTAAACCCAGATACTTCAATAAAATAGTTTAAAAAAAATTCAATGAGTCAGACCTTCAAGCTTCACAGTATGTAGTAGGTATTTCTGGTTTTCTAATAGTACCATATTAGAAAGTTCTGATTTTTTTGTGTATAGCCTGTAAGTCAAATAAGCATGTACTTAAAGAATAGCTGTCTAATCTCTAATTTTTTTTTAAAACAATTAGTTTGTAATAGTTGTTGTGGACAGTACAGACAGAGAAAGGATTTCTGTGACTAGAGAAGAACTCTACAAAATGTTAGCCCATGAGGTAAGTGTTATGTGTTATGTGTGTATGTATTAGGTGTATTTGCATCTCAATTTTTCATTCTTATGAGAATATTTTTCCAAACTTTTTAAAAGTTACTTGACTGCTGGTTGTTTGTGCTTTATAATTTTGACACATCAAATTGGAAAGATAACTGAAAGCAGCAGAAACATTGTGGAGTCTCTTACAGAATTTTATTTATTTGATTTTTAACTTGGGAAGAGGGTTTTTGTGACACACTGGCTGTGCCAGGGGCCTACTCTTGGCTCAGCCATTGGGTTCATTCCTGGTGGAGCTCAGGGACCATATGGGGTGCTGGGGATCAAACCGAGGTTGTCTGCACACACGGCTAGCTGTACTATCTCTCTGACCCTATGTAATTTTTTAAAATTTTTCCTAGACAAGACCTAAAAAGGTCTTTATTTTGGGCCAGAAAGATAGCATAGCAGGTAAAGGTGCTTGCTTTGCATATGGTCATTCTGGGTTCAATCTCTGGCATCCCATATGGTCCCCTTAGCATAACCAGGTATGGCCCAGAAACCAAAAACAGAAGACTTTGATTTTGAATAGATTAATAGTTTAGAGGATTATCATTAGAATCAAAATTTTAAGAGTCATACAATTCATGATTGTAACTCCAAGACTGTTAAGTTTTTTTGCTTTCAGGGTCTGAAACTGTCTTTGACTGAACAAAATTGTGGGACTAGTTATGTTTGCATGGTTCTTGAGAAAAAGTCATGTTTGTACTTGAAGTATTTGTATGTGTGTGTTCTGGGATTGAACCCAAGCTCATACGTTCAGGGCATATCCTCTACCACTGAACTCTGTCCTCTGCGTAATTGAAAAATCAAGTAAACTGAGTAATATTGTCAGTGTAACTATAAAATTGTATGTTTTTTTTCTACAGTGGATATTATTCAGTCCTTAATAATAAGTATATTTTTACTATTTGTAATTTATTCCTTCAAAATTTTGCCAAACTGAGCTACATAAATAGAACATGCAATATTTTTCTTTCCCCCTTCCTTAAAATGATGTATCATTAGTTTACAGTGTTACAGAATTACAGAAGTATCGCTCAACACATGTCTTTCTGTAAAGGATTCATTGCACCCACTACCAGATGAAGATGCAGTTTTCTTTTTCTTTTTTAAAAAAATTTTTTTTTATTGAATCAGTGTGAGATGGACCCTTAAAGCTGTTCATGATTGGATTTCAGTAATACAATATCCAACTCCTGTCCCTCCACCAGTTTTTTCCTAGCACCAGTGTCCCCAGGTTCTCTCCCATCACCCCCTGCCTGCTTCTATGGCCGGCGCTTTTCTTCTCTCTCTATCTGTGTCTCTGTCTCTCTCAAAGATGTAGTTTTCAGCTAATATTCCGGAGTTCTTTTTTTGACCATGCTATTTTAGTAACTCTTTAACTGATAGCAAATCTGCCATCTTATAGAGGGCATGGTAAGTAAAAAGCATTTTCCATTGGTAAATACAACATTTTGCTTAACTGCCCCGATCGAATAAATTCGCAGTGTATGTTTTTGTTTACTACAGAAAGAATTAGAGAAGCTTCAAAATTCTATACTAATAAGAGTAAAATAATCTGGAGCAATATCAATTTGTACCTACTTCACACATGAGTATACAGGTCTGAAACGAAAATAATAACCCATTGAAATCTTTGGGGGAAAAAATGGAATTGAACACGGTTCACAAAACCTACCTATAAGCTTTTGGGATTTTTTGTATTTGGGCCACACCTGGTGATACTCAGAGGTTACTCCTAGCTTTGCACTCAGGGATCACTCCTGGGGGTCCTTGACCATACGGGAGGCAGTGCATTGAACCCAGGTCAGCCACTTGCAAGGCAAACACTCTACCTACCGTACGATTGCTGTGGCGCCAGAATCTCAGCATTTTATGAATGGGAGCAGCCATTGTAGTGGGAAGATCTTTTTTGTCAAATAGAGCAAAGATCCCAGTAAGCAAAGCTTAACTCGTAGAAATCTTATGAGAATTAAGGAAATTTTAAGTACAATGAGTGATTTGAAATTGGATCTGCCGTAACAATATTAGTTATAAGGAACAAATTCAAAAAGATTTAAGAAACTTGTTCCTCAGGGCCAGAGAGATAATAGGCCAGGTAGGGCTCTTGCCTTGTTTGTAGCATTGCATATGGCAGTGCTAGGAGTGATCCCTGAGCAAAACCAGAGGGAGGCCCTGAGTACCACTGATATGCACCCCCCGCACACACACCACATTAAATTAAAAAATAAAGAGAAAGCTTTATTCACAGCCAAACAGATCTGATAGAACTACTAATTGGGAAATGAGTTTAATGCCAGTTCAAGATGGCTCTAATAAATACATGATCACCTAAGAAATTTTCATGGACAAGATAGAGAAGCCAGAACTCAGTAGTTAAATAAGATTGGCTTAGAATAGTACCCCTTCAGTGAGAGTTAAGTCCCATAAAACACCACAGTGGATGTAATCCACAATGGGGTAGAATTTTGGAAAGCTTTTGAGTCCATTGTTGAAGAGCAGTACTTAGTAACCATAGAAACCCAGTTTAGGGTTGAGAGAAAAGGAAGGGTATATATTATATTAAAGACATGAATAGATATTGAACTTAGGACCATTAATAATTAAATAGGCAGACTTATTGAAGTATAGACATTTTAAAAACTGAATTCAGTTTTGTTTGTCAGGAGAGAGTGTAGCGAAGTAAGGCCTTTGCTTGTGTCTGACCCTTGCTTGGTCCCTGGCATCATGTATGATCCCCCAAACACTGCCAGGAATGTTTACAGAATACAGAGTCAGAAGTAGCCTCTGAGCAGGGCAGAGAGTGGGTCCACCTCTCCCCTTTCCACCCCACAGGAGCTGTGGGCTGCTTTGCATTGAGTAATTGAAAAAAGCAAGTTATAGAAACTGTCTAAAATACTGTTAGTTGACTTTTCCCCTGTGGAGCAGCCCTTATTTTTCCTAGTACATCTACCTTTTTTCTCACTCTCTTGTTTCCTCTCTCTTTCTCTCCCCTCACATTTTTCTAAGTTTTATTAAATAAAACAATTTTACTTCAGAAATATACAAAATACTGTAAAGTTGGAAAATCTGTAGGGAAAAAAAATAAACTGACCATTATGGCTTTGTTGTTACTAGGACCTAAAGAAAGCTGGATTGCTGATTTTTGCTAATAAACAAGATGTTAAAGAATGCATGACTGTAACAGAAATTTCCCAGTTTCTGAAACTAACTTCTATTAAAGATCACCAGTGGCATATACAGGCATGCTGTGCTCTTACTGGCGAGGGGTAAGAAGTCTTTCTGAATAATATCTGTTTTTATTAGAAATGTTTATTCTCTTAAAATACAATGTTTATTATATACCAAACATTGTAAGGAAGAAATAAAAAGCATATGGAACTGTAGAGCAAGTCCAGTGGGTAGGACATGTGCCTTGCATGTGCCGTCGACCTTGGTTACATCCCAGATGGTCCCTCAAACATCACCCAGTATGTTTCCTGAGTTGCAGAGCCAGGAGTCCTTCTAGGTATGGCCTAAATATCAAAAAAGAAAGAAAAGATATAGTCCTTGTTTACAATGAAAGCTTATTTTTTTTGTTTTCTTTTAAAGGACAAAATGAATGCAACATATTCCTCGTGCTGATGATTTTTATATAAAATTTGAAAATAAAGATGTAATATTGTTACAATTCAACTCATAAGTTTTGATCAATTATGTGCAGATATATTATTAAGATAGATGTGAGCTTGCGACGGTTTATTTTTGTCTTTGTCTTTCTGGGGGACAGGGACAATGAATGCAGCCTTGGTGTGATGTTACTCTGGCCCTCTGCTCCTGGGTTGTTCCTGGCGGTGCTGGGTCTATGCAGCACTGGGGATAAAACCTGTGCCTTTAGCACACAAAGCAGGCTCCAGCCCATTGAACAGCCTCTGGCCCTGGAGTTTCTGTTTTCTTTTGGGTTCTTTTTTGTTACGGTTTATTTTGGTTTTGGATCAAACTTGACAGTGCTCAGGGCTTACGCCTGTCTCTGTCCCCAGGGATCACTCCAGGCAGGGCATGGGGTCCTTACGGAGTGCTGGAGATTGAACTTGGATCATCAGCTTTGTGCAAGGCGAGTGCTCTACCCATTGCACTCTCTCTCCAACTCCCTGGCAGTTTCATTTTTTAAAAAAAAGATCAGTTGGGCTTTGGCCAGAGTGATAATACCATGGGTAGAGTCCCTGCCTTGCACGTGGCCAAACCAGGTTCAGTCTTGGGCATTCTGTATGTTCCCTGAACACTGCCAGGGGGAATCCCTGAGCATCACTGAATGTGGCTCTCATCACCTTCCTATCCCCACCTTCCCAAATTAGTAGGGCTTGAGAGGTCGTTCAGAGGCCTGGAGCACTTGCTTAGTATGTGTGAGGCCCAGGTTCACTCCCTGGCACATGGTCCTCTGAACACCATTGGTGTGGCCCCCAAGACAAAAATAAATAAGTGAAAAAGAGAAAGATAAATTAGTGTCTGATAGTATCTTTTTAATTTTTGGTTGATAGAGGTTTTCACATGCAGCAGTTAATAGGTAGAAAGGTGGGTTTGGGAGAAAACGTCTTTTTCCTTTTGTATTCTGGGAACTTGGTTTGTGTCTGAGTTTTAGTATTGGTCAGCATTTTGGCTCTCTCCTGCCATGTGTGACCCTCTAAGGGTTCCTTCTATATTATCAGAAGGATCTGAGGCTTATTTTTTCTTTCCCTTTTGTCTTTTGGGCCATACCAGGCAATGCTCAGGTTTCTCCTGGCTCTACCCTCAGGAATCACTTTAGGCAGTGCTCAGGGAACCGTGTGGATTCCGGTATACCATTCAAGCCAGCTTCGTGTAAGGCAAACACCTTACCTGCTAGCAGCCCCCAGATCCTAGTCTTATTGTATATATTGCTGGTTTTTTAACAGCTAGTCCACAAACCAAGCTGGCAGGCTGATGTAAAAAAGTGGAAACCTACTGGTATAGATTGGTTAAGTTACGGTTATTGAGTGCTTAACAGTTGCTGGATAACCACTGTTTAATAACAATTTGCAAATTTTCATTTCTGTCTTCTTTTGAGTTATGAATCTCTCACGCTTGTACAAAAAAACCATATTAAAATAAAAATTCAATATTAAAATCCATTTTAATATTGCAGCATAGTTTCTTCTGTCTACAAATACATAAAATGATTCATTTTTCATTACAGCCTTCATGTTGTTTTAATATATTATGTATGTTCATAGTAAATTTCTTTCTAAACTGTTTCTTTCACCACAGTGAAGATCTTGAAGGAAATTTTTAATATTTTAATCATATAAATGTTCTATAATTTGTGAATTCTGTTTCCTACTTCTAGATATTTAAATTCTACACATTTCTCTTAATATACTTTGATGAGCGCTAGTATTTGATGAGCGCTAGTAGTATCTGTCTTTATTTCTGATTACATTTTTAAGCATATTTTGTAAGAAAGAGGATAAAGTGTTGGTATTTTCAGTGTTTTAATTTGTATTAAGTTACTTTTTATAGGAGTTTCCTTGTATAATTACGAAGCTCCCTGTGTGAACCGGGTGGTGTCTAGGCACTCAGAGTCTGACACCGTGAAAGAGCATGAAGGAATCGTGAGTGAGAATATGACTTTACTACAACAGTGTCAGGACTGAGTATTATTAATTTTTTTAAATATTTGTTAGTGAAAATGTAAATGAAAATACCATCTTCTTGTACTTCACCGTTCATAGATTTTTAGTGGAAAAAATGTGATGAAAGGGTTTTCTTCTCTTTACAGGTTATGCCAAGGACTTGAGTGGATGATGTCACGACTTAAGATTAGATGATCTCTGTGACCTCCTCTCTCATGAACTTTGTTATGAACGAAGTGCTGGACTTTACCTGAAAGCTGCAAAAATTCATGGTTTAGATATATTTATAATAAACTGATTTAAACTTTTTCTATAAGAAGAAAAATTAGGACCACTTATTTGAAAACAAAGATGAAGCCTCACTCCCAATCTACTTTCTCATTAGTTCCTTCCAAAGCAAGGTCTTAAAGCTGTGATTGACATTTTTCTTATAATGAATCCTCTCAGGACATTGTGTGGCCTGTGGTAAGTATAAAGGGAGAGGAAAACATTTTAACTTCAAGAGCTTTATTATCAGTATAACCCTCCCTAGTTGAATGTTGTTCTCTTGTTTCATTAAGTCAGAATACAAATCAGCACAAATCAGTTTCATCTTTTAAAATGTAATGTTACTTATAAAAAGTATTTTGCATAAACTTGTGTATGTATTGTGTAAATACCTCAAGTTCCAGTAAATGACTTTGATTTATGTTCTAAGGAAAAGTGGATAACACAAAAATTAATAATATTCCTAGTATAACCATAATACAGTGAGTTCTGGTATTGATGTTAATTGCCTTTTTGTACTTTTCCTCTGTGTTCTCTGTCTTGTACTAACCTCCCACACCACCACCGCCCCCAAAATTATTTAGCTGCTCTTAAAAACAAAAGAAAGAAAAAAAGGGAAAAGCTTGACATTGGGTACCTATTTTTTTGTTGATCAAATCACATGCATGGAAACATAATCCAGTTGAGTGGATTTCTTATCATATTCTTGCTTAGCGTCGATGGTAGAATTTCCCATTAAACTATCAGCTGTTTCCTTTTATTGGCGCTTATGCCATCTGGGTTACTGACTAAATTACTAATCCATTAATAGTCAGTCATTAATTATGGTTAAAATCAGTGATTTTTTTCAGCATTAGTGGAAAGCTGTTTTATAAAACATGTCTATCCAGACAAGTATCACCCTATAAATACTATTAAATAATTAAGCTAGAATCTTCTTAATTTAGGTATTTAGTTAAAAGCATTTGAAGTGAATTTGAGATAAAGCTTATTTCCCAAGCAACAAAAATTTCTTGAATTAAAATTTTGTTTCTTAGGAATTAGAATAATTTGAGATATTTCTGTTTCTGTGGGTTTTCATTTTATGTTCTTATACCAGTAATTCATTGTTTGACAACTACAAAATGCAAATTTTTAATGCTATTAAGAACATTAAAAATCTATTTTTTTTAAACTAAGAAGTAATGGCTCAAAATATCTTTTCTGTTTACTTAGGTTTTTGTTTTATGCCTTTTTAATTTCATAAAATCAGTGGTATTTCTGTTGTAACTGTACAGACACTTAAGTGTGTTTAAACATATTTTTGGGATACTTTGTGAATCTCATGCTCTCAAAATCTGAAGGCAAATCCAAACTGGCTTGTTACCAAATATTCAAAGAAATAAAATAATGACTTAGAATTCATAAGAATTTTGATTAGAAATAATACCTAGCATATTCTATAAACTGGCAAAACTTTGAAAGTTATTTTCTATAAAATATACAATGCTTAATATCTAAATCCAGGTCAGCATGGAAGATCTATGTTGAATACGGAATGTTTTGTAGTTTATAATGTTTAAAATGCAAGCATAAAATTTTAATATTTGCCAGCATGCTTTGACAAAAGTAAATCCTAAATTCTTAAACTTGCTCATATTTAATGTTTTAAAATCTCAGTAAGGATTTACTTGTATATTAAAAACTTAAATCTGTTTTGTTTTTGCTGCAGTTTCATCAGAGACAAATATTTCTTAAAATCACCCAGCAAATCCATTACGTTTTATCCTTTTCTTTGAATATCGTGTATTTTTTAATTGCTGCCATATCATTTCAACAGTATACCAGCCCATTTTCTTGTCATCAGGTATTGGTTGAAATGTATTCTTAATTAGGTGATTAAAGCATGTACTACATTGTTAGAGTAAATAATCTACCATGAAAGCTCGTGGTAGATTATTTACATTAACATTATGAGAATGCACGAAATCTTATATAACACATTTAAAAGACCTGATTTTTTTTTTTTTGTTATATTCTACCCTTGTAAGCATAAGAAACATGGTGGTATCTCTGTATCATGCATAAAATCAAAATTGGGAGAAAATTTAAATTCAGGTATGAAAATATGTCAAAATAATGTTAACAGTATTACTTCCGGATACGGTGGAAAGCTTCATATGTTGGCAGTTTACATGCAGCTTAAGATTTCCATCTTAACAAAGGACAATGCTCTTGTTTGTATATTCCTTCTGGGTATAAACAGATATTTATGGTCATTGTGCTCAGCTTTAAAAAGAGTAAAGCTTCATACCTCTGTACATGTGGGTGGATTTAAATATCATGTGTTTGATACTAATTTTGAGTAACTTCTTGATAACCTGGTAAAAGTAACTGTATGCTATATTCATTTAAATATGTTTATTTTGTCATAATAGCATTTTAATTTATATCTTACAAATTATGTGAGGATTCTTGTTTGAAAGTTTCACTTCTACAGCAGCTCTCATGATAGGGCAAAGAGTATATTGAAAGCAGATGGTTTGGGGGATAGGAGGAAAGAGGTAGGGAATAAATCATGACATTTTGCCTTAAGAATTAAGCATGACTTTAGCACTGCGGACAGGCACTTTTCATGCAGGTATAGTAAAGTGGTTTTAGAAGCGTAGTGTGAAATAGAACAAAAGTTTCTGTTTCTCATCCTTAAGAAGTGCCTCATCAGTAGTTACAATGAGACCACAGAGAAGCACAGGGAGCTTGAGGAAAAGCAGGAAATCCCCGGTTGGTTTTCCATTTTGTCTAAATGTATAGTATTGAGATGCCTAGAAATGGGATTCTATTGTCCCTGATCTTTTAGGCACTTTACATTTCTTGCTGTGACTACGGCAACCACAAAACAGTACAGACAACCTCAAAATCTGTTTATATTAGTGTAAATAGAAAAACTTCAGAGAATTTTCTAGTTTTCTCTGCAGGCAATTTTGAGAATATATCTGTAGTATGTTCTACTATGTATATAGGGGATTGCAGCACATCGCAGACTATCTGAGGACCTTGGGGTGATATCCCAATTGCCCAGATAATATCCTATCAGTCTCTCTTCCAAGGCTGAGTAAAAACAGATTTCTTTGCATGATTTAACTGTGACTTCTTTGTCCAATATAATCTGGACGTTCTTGCTTCAAGATTAGCTTTCCATCTCTTCTGATAAATTATCCAAACTCTCTATATCCATTGTTCCCCAAAGTAGTTTCTGGGGTACTCCAGTTCTTTGCTCTCCTCCAACCACTGACTTGATTGGTCTGTGTCTTGTTCCTGTGAGAGTATTATCAGAATTATTGAGTCCATCAACAGACTGGCTTGCTGGCTTTATAGTTTGTGAATGCCAGTCGTATAATTCTTTAAGTTATACTCTACTTATCATCTTAATGTTTCATAAAGTTTTGTCTTTATGTCGATAAAAACTAAATTCAGATTAAGAAGAGACTACCTAGACTGCCACTTCTTTGAGTTATTCTTCATGGAGGGATGTATATTATCTTCCCATTACCAAAACCGAGTTGTATTCTAGAGAGTAGCAATGTGAGTTAGAGAAAGATGCCAAACCAAATTTATACACAGTATTTAACCTGAAGACTTCTCTGTCTTAAATCACGATCTACTTTCCATTTTTCCTTCTTACGTTAACAAAAAAAATAAACATTAGATGTATAAAGTAATTAGTAACAAGATCCAGTCTTGACAAAACACATTTGTAGAAATGACCTTTAAAAGACATCAGAGTTATCATGTGTTAACTTTGTACTTAGAAAATACTTATACTTTCACAAAAATAAAACATCTGTCTTATGCCTCCTCAAGGAATGAGGATTTTAATAAAAGAAATCCAGGATTTAAAAGTTGGATGCTTAGCATTGACTGATTCTGTTTAATTCTAAAAATTGCGTATGTAATTGTGAAGAAATATAACAGGATGGAGTTGGGTTAATTATGCAATATTTCCTAACAGTTGTGTAGCTTTTGTGTATTCTAAATACTGAAGTTTGATTCATTATGGTCTTGCCTGCTAGATGCACTGTTCTTGGTAGAAAATTCTGATTGTCTGTACTCAGGAAGTGCCTAAAATTGATTTGTGTTGATTGTTAAGTCCCTCTAATAAATTATATATGTATGTGTTTTCTATTGATATGTTCTTGGCTTACTGATGACACAGCACGAGGGTTTCTGCATTGTACTTTTGTTCTTAGATTTAAAGAGCTTCAAAATTGGAAATAGCCACCAAGATCCTGGTCAAATCATAGTTTAAGGAAACATGAGTGGAACAGTGTTTTCTTTTTTTCTGAAAAAGTATTCTTTGATCCTGGCATTAGTTGCTATGAAGATTAGAAAACTGAACTCTGTTTCTGTTTTTCAACCGGCAGAAAACTTTTAAAACATTAGTAAAGATTTGTTCCTTGTTCAAGAGTAGCCTCAATTCTTCCCATGCTTAGTCTTGGTTAGTAATTTGAGTCATTTCATTTAGATATTAAGCCACTTTGTGAGTATAAATTCCAAAATTCTTACCCTTTGTTTAAATTCTGTTTTTAAACCACAATATTTGATAGAACCCTATTATATTTCATATGCGGTTTCTCCTTTCAATTTGTTTCTTCCTTACCTTAGGGTATCATTACAAATTATGGTTGCAAGACGTCCATGTCTTCTTGGTTGTTGTTTTTGTTTTTGTGCTCAGGTTTATTCCCAGTGGTGCTCGGACCATGCTTTGCCCAGGGATTGAACCAGGGTTCAGGCGTGCACAGTTTGCACTTAAGCTTGTTGAGCCATCTCCTTGCCCCCTTGACCATATTTTCAATGATTATGATTAGATTTATGATCATAAATTCAGTCATCTTGTATGGAATGTGAAATTTGTATATATATGTATTTTTCAGTAATATGTACTTTTCTCCCCAGCCTTCTTGATCATAAAGGTAAAGGTAAAGGCCCTCCCATTGATCGTCGATTTGCTCGAGCGGGCCCAGTAACGTCTCCATTGGAGACTTTTGTTGTTACTGTGTTTGGCATATCAAATACTCTCGGTAGCTTGCCGGGCTCTCCAAGAGGGGCGGAGGAATCGAACTCGGGTCGGCCATGTTGGCCGCTTGTAAGGCGAACGCCCTACCGCTGTGCTATTGATGATATATATAGAGTTCCAATATATTTTTTTTTATCCTGAAAACAGTCCTTTAAATTGGAGTAGCATTGGGCCGGAAAGATAGTACAGCCTACTGGTAGGGTGCTTGGTCTGCATGTAACTGACCCGTGTCCAATTCCCAATAACCAGCATTGTCCCCTTGCCATCATCGCCAGGAGTCCCGGAAGATAGAGCCAGGAGTAAGCCCTGAACAGTGTGACCCAAACCCCACTCCCTCCAGAATAATTGAAAAAGTCTTTATAATAAATATGTGCCACTATCGATCCTTGAGAAGAGGTGACAGTTGCAGAGCACTTTCGAAGGCATTTTCAAGATACTTTATTGAGGAGGAAGCTCTAATTATTTCTAACAAGGACCCAATTTCTAGAGATAAGAAAATGTACACCCAGTTTGTGCTTAAACTGAATTTTTTTAACCAGTACATGGTTTTAAATATGAAAACTTAGATTATTGTAACTATTAGCTCTTAATCTTCCCTGGTTATTATATTTTCCTGGAGACACTTAGATGAAATTGTATTCCATCTATTCTCTTTGTGTTTGAACTCACAAATTGAACTCCGTGTATATTGACATAATTTAGTATAAGCAACTTCGAAAACCTTTTGAAAATGTCTAGGTCTATTGTACCAGAATGACGATATGAAAGGATTCTGCATTTGCTTGCCAGAACAGTAGAAAGTCAGCATCCTATGAATTTGCGATGCTCTGTATCTTAGGGGGATTTTTATACTCTAGGAATATTCCCCAAAGTGAGTATCTTCTAGTGCTTGGGTGCTGTGATACCCTCAGTGCTGATATAGTAGGTACCTAGGAAAGGAATGCTTCAAGGTCTTCTTGACAGCAGTACTGCATGGACAGCTGGGATAGGGAGTGGCCGACTGAATGAAGTAGGGAAGTCTCTTCCGGCAGAGGCAGTGCAGGGCAGCTTTGCAGGTCTGGGACTTGAGTAGACTTGTAATACTGTCCTTGTTTCCGATACAGACTGAAATGTCTAGCTCCAGAAATGCAGGTCTTGGGTCTAGTGATTGGTAACAGGGCCTTGTTTCGAATGAAATAAAGGAGTACTATACTGTCAAGGTATGTTTGAGGGGAAATTATGACTAAGCTGTTTGGTGATTTCCTTACCTAATATATACATTCACTTTTTCAAGATGCATGTTAACGTGGGAGAAAGTATCGTCTCTGCTTTATGCTTTGAATAAGGAAAAAAATTAAATCCTTATTCTCTGTTATTACATATCCCTTTCCTTTCGAGAAGGTTGATTATAATTAGTTCCTATCTCTGTTGTCGTGTTTTTTTTTTTATTCCAGTTTATCTTCTAAATTTGTGCAGACTTGGTGATGGGAGCTCTGTTACTGGTCAGGAGTTGGATCTGCCAGGATAATTCAAAAGACAACTGCAGACATCTGTTCTCTAGGAATCTTTTTTTATGGAAACAGGACAGGAATCTTTTTTTTTTTTTTTAATGGAACTTAGTCAATTAATAGGAAGCTTTCTGTCTTTTACTTCTGGATATTTTAATTAGAAATGAGCCTGATAGTGACCAGTTTGTGTGAGAAAAGCCAAGTAATTGGAAGCAAATATTATGAACGTGGGCATTTGTGTGAATGACTGATAGTAAATAAAGAAACATAAGGTTCCGGGAGAGAAGTGAGTGCCATGCTTGTGTTTATTTGAGCATTGTGTCCTCGACTGGAGTATAAGGGTGCTAGCGGCCAGTAGTGTTGTTTACAATTTATGTCTCTCAGTACTGAGGAATATTAATTTTGTTGAGCCACGCCATCCCCTGCTGCCCTGTGGTAGGTTTTTCTTTCTTTTGTGTTTGTGACATGCTGTCTCTTTTTAAGCTTGTAATTCTAATTTAATCTCTTCCATTTCAAAAGGGATCCAAGAAGACTGTGTTTTTATCATTCATTTTTACCTAAGAAAAAGACACATTTCCTTAAAAGATGACTTGAGAGTGCCATGCAGTGCAAATAAACATGTACAAATTTTATTTACTTGAAATCTCTATGACTCTACATCAAGGAATATCAGGAATGTCCCAGGGGTTATCATAAGCAATTGTGGACACTCAAATTCTAAATGATAAAACAATACTTCTGGGGGAGAAAAAAATTCTTCATGTCTTTTTACTTTCTAGTTTCGATATCTGGAATATCCCTTCTTAGTAAATACCTTTATTCCTTGAAAAAAAAATCTATCTCAACATAGAATAGCGTGTCAAAGTCCTTTTGAATATACATATTCCTTACGGTTGGTGCCAGCATATTGAGATTCTTTTGATTTGGCTGCCCAGATGAACAGTTATTCACATCACTGCCTGCTTTTCTTCCTAGCAAATTATCCTCTTTTTTGAAACAATTCCAGTTTTGGATGCTCCTAGTGTTTAGATTCCCAAAGAATATTGTATTCCCAATTGTTTTCTTATTTCTGGAGCATAGGAAGGGGCATCTTCCTCTCAAAGATTATTTTCATAGGATTTTATCTGTAAATTCAGAAATTATTGATTAATGGTATAAGCTTTGTGAATGCCTATTTTTCATATTTCATTAATGCTGTATATCTCAAAAGCACCTTCTACTTTAATAAAGAAAGGATAGACTCTTTATTTTGTACTGAGTGAAACTATTCTACAAATTTCAGTTTCAGTTTTTGTTTTGTTCATTTATTGGGATTTTAGTTTTTTCTAGTGAATGAAATAAATTCTTTAAAAAGTATTAGCCTTTTGTCTTGTTTTAATAGACTTTATTACTGTCTACCCCTTTAATATTTGTCACCATCATTTTAGCACATAGGAGTCCTTATTAGTATTAAAATTACATAAAAATTCATTATTTCTCTAAAGTAAAAATCAGAAGGGATGCACAGAAAGAAAATTTAAATCACTCATCATTCCATCATTCTAATAAAACCAGTATCAACACTGAGTATATTTTAGATACAGAATTCTAAAAAATTATCCTCTTTTGAAAGAGTTATCTATAATTTCTCTATACTTTCCCCACAACATACCTATACATAAAAACCATTTGAATGGATTTGTTCTATTTGCTTTTTGAATTGTCAAAATTTATTGAACCATTCTTATGTTAATGTATATTAAATTGTTCCTTGTTTTTCACCATTAAAAATAAACTACAACTAAATATGAATTTGTTTTTCATTTGTAAGTTGAATTGCTGTGTCAAGGTGTGTGGGAGTTTTTAAAGGCACTAATGTATTGAACAGCTGTCTTCCCAAAAGGTATTCCTCTTGTCCTGGTCAGGATCCCTGACCTGCCTTCCTATATTGATAAACAATCTTAAAGAAAGATTGAGTTTTCAACTCACTCAGCAAAGTGAGTATATCTCTAGCCTTTATTTTTCAAAGCTTAAGTATTAATCCCCCTGTACTGCTTCCAACTTAACGCTGATCATTAATATCATTTTCAAGGAGTCTTAGGAGGCAAACCGGAAAATATTCCCAACTGACCTTTTTCTAATGTTGGCAATAAATTTTAAGCTCTTTCAGTCATGTAACATTTAGGACCTGTTCACCTCTTGCTTATCTAAAACATGTCAGACAACTGGCAGACTTCAGTACTAGTCCCTTTATTTTTCTATTAAGTTTCTTTATTTCAGAGGAAATTTAAACTCATAATTTATTCTCTCCCAAGAAAGAAGAACTCCCATTTCATTTTGCTCATAAGGTGAACAAATTCCAATCAACAAGTTATCAGAACACACATTGAGGGGGCGGAGGTGGGTTGGCTGGTTAGTTTTAGGCCACACCCAGTTGTGTGGTAAAAGCCAGGGTTTACTTTTGGTTCTTCACTCAGAAATCACTCTTGATGGTGCTCTGTTATCACACAGTGCCAGGCATAGAACCCAGATCAGTTGTGTGCATGGCAAGTGCCCTACCCACTGTACTACAGCTCCGGCCCACCCTACTTACTTTTAAATTGAAGTAAGTGCATTATAACATTAATTTCAGGTTAAAACCA